TTTCCAGTAAATATAATAACCGATTGTAGACTGCACAATTTGGTAACCGATAAAATTCATACTGAGATCTAAGCATAAATGATTTGTAAAATATTAAAGGAATTTCAGGAAGAGGAAGAGGGTGCCGACCTCATGGACCACTCTCAGATACGGCATTGGTGTTTAGTGTAAATAGTTGATCAATTTACGAGTATTTTTATTTTTTAAAACATATAATACATATATACATATACATACATTAGAAGTTACAAGTTTTGTGTTTTTCTAATTCTTCTGATACTTTACATGCAGATATATTGTCCCCTTTTATTCTTGATATAGTGTACAACTTCTAACTGACTTTTTACGAAATGAAACCATATTATTGAAACGGGGTTGCTAAAAAATGATTTTAAATAGTAGTTGGGCATTTATCCTGAGAGTCAAAATATGATTTCAAAGCTAGGTATATATCATTAATTCTGGAAACAGCTGGTTGTAATGATAGCCATTGTAGTTTTACACTTACAAGTATGATTTTGTATTTGTAAAACCACAAATATTTTTTAAGGTTTCAACTCTAACAGTATAAATATGGAAGTATTGAAATATTTTATTAACTAAACATTCGATATAAATAGGTAATATATCTGTACTTGTTTACATAGCATTATAAAGGATATGAGCTGCATAAATCATTTCACAAATATTAGTTTTTAAATTATTGTTTAAAATCATAAAATCATTTTTTGTTCCTTTCCTTGCAACACCTCCAAAATTGGTATTACAATTATCTCCAGAAAATGCAATCATTCTGTTAGATAATTTATACATTGTTAAAACTTCCATTATAAAAAAAAAACATATCTGAAGTTCCTTCTTTCAAATTTGTAAATTCGAGAACTTTTATTTAAACTCCTACTTTAGGATCAAAATACCGAATAAGTATGGGCATGAGTTTGAAATTCTTACGATTTGAAGTTTCAATCGTAATTGTGGCGAAATTAACAGCTTTTAGTTCGTCTATTATTTGATCCATTGCAAAAGGAGCTAATACATTCAAAATAATCGATTCACACTTAGTTCGTGCAAAAGCAAATTATTTTTCGTGTAACTTTCTTATTAAAGTTCTAGTACAATACATTGATCTAAAAGAATAGATATTGACTATTATATAAAATGTAAACATTCCTCCTTCCGCAGAAATTTTTAATCCTTCAATTTTTAAGCCAGATGGCCCTTGTTTAGTTAAGTATGATATTATATTCTCATTTTTCGAAGCACTAGATAAGACCAATAAGTGTTTTTTCTTCTCTATATGCTGCGTTATATCTGGGCGACCTCCATGCTCTATTGAAAATACAACCTTGTACACCGTACACAACACTTTGCTTATTTCTTTACTTTTTTTAAGAAAAGTAAATTGAGTCTACAAAGGTACAGTGAAAGTATTCCTCAATTAAAAAAAAAAAAAAAAAAACAATAAAAGTAACAACACTAACGACTCACAACAATTTAAATAAAAATAACTGATACACAGTGGCTATAACATTAATAACACAAGATCGTTGCAATTATTGAACGTTACTATACGACTATGTTCAATTTTTCCATTAAATGCATCAATATACATAAAATAATAAATAAATAAAAAAAAATATAATATAATATAATAATATTATATAATATATCATATCATTGATTATAAATAGTACTGTATATTGGTAAACTATTCGTATTTAATTTCGATTTCGTTAGAAGTCTCGCACATGATTTCGTAGTATATACACTACATGACATGTCTTATGCTTATCACTAATTTTATTATACGTCAATGCTACAATTCACATTATACGAAGACGGTTATTTATAACTTAAGTTCCAATTTATTTAAGTATACAGCTATTTTTCGTAGAATTATTTTGTATTTTGTTTATACATACAAAATACAAAATAATACTACGAAAACAATTTGTAAAAGAAAAAAAAACCTATTTTGTTTTATACATAGATTTTTTTCTTTTACTCTCAGTTTACAATTTTTATGAAAATAACGGAATTAAAACGGGGCCCTATTCTAAAAACGGGATACAAATTGTCCCGTTTAAAGTTTGTCGGGACAATGGGATATAATGATAAAAAAGGGACAATCCCGTTTTAAATGGAACGAATGATCACCCTAGTATAAAGACTTATCCGCGGACATCTTGGATACTCGACGACGATTTTCCGTTAATTGATCATTAAACAAAAATCAAAATATTATTAAAAATGTATTAATTCAATAGATTCTGAAAATGTCTTGCATAACTTTTATGTTATATGATTTCTTGATAAATATTATAATTTTTCTATTATTTATTATTAAAAATCATATTATGCCCATTGTTGATAAGTACCGATAAAGTAATAATAAAGGAAAATAGAACTTTGATTAAACAAGTTTATAATTGTATTTATAAATTACTCAAAGGTTTTTTTATTTTTTAATGTAATGTTAGAATAATAAATTAGAGTTATATATAGAATGTATTTGATCAGTTTGATTGAATAAAATAAGAAATTAATAGCGTAGGTATTTACAGGCGGAAGTAATTACAACTTCTATAGGGATCGATTAAAATAAAAATGTTTCAAACGGAAATATGATAATAAAATGTATAAAAAAAAAATATATAAAAGACAACAAATACTATAGAAAATACGATAATAAGGTGAAAGCCCTAGAATGACAGAAAAATTAAAAGGCTAAAAATATTTTATTTTGAAAAATTTTCAAACCCTCTGATTCTAGAAAATCCAATTAATTTATGTTATATAGGTTCAAAGCTAAAATTATTTGGAATTATTTCAGTACTAACTATTATACGGCGATCAATATTGTGTTGATGTTAAACTCACTGGAGTATTTTCCTTAGAGTTATATTGCAGTTTTTAATTCATTTTAAATTAAACTAAATATGTTATTAATGTACATTCGTTTGAAGTAAAACCAGTTAACAGTTGTATCGGTAATGAATAAGAAATGCAGTCGTACAATTTGATTGCGATCATATGAAAATGTTTATAACTTGATATTGATCGAGGACATTCAATTTTATATGAAGCCCATATTTGACCAAAAATGACAAATTATATTTTAAATGTAATTACATAAAACATTTACGAATAATTCATCACCACATTTTGACACTTATCTTATATTATATTCTTACTTATTAACAAAAAGATAGGCACGTGAATGGTGAATAAATCTAAAAAATAAATAAAACATTTAAACCCCACCTACATGTTTTTTTTTTTTTAATGACTATTAAATTTGTTTGAAAATAATAAATCATAATACATATTATATCTATTGAATTATACTCGTACATTAAATGTTCCATGAAAAATAAATGTAAATTTAAACAATTTTTGAATATTAAATGTTATTAAACTTGACAATTGAAATAAAAAATATATAACATTTTGTAATCATACTTTTATCATGATATAATAATGATTTTTAGTTGATGCGATGATTACTGTTTGAACTGTTTTTTGTAAACGGATTATTTGAATTTTATTCGTGAATGGTTTTTGGGAGTAAAAAATAACGATAAATTGAATGACTTACAAACTATTGTCTGCCAACAAAAATCTTCAAGAAATTATTAAAAGAAAACTTTGTTGAAAAATGTGTATTTATCATAAACTTAATTACACTGTTCGAGACCATTTCAAGACTTGCAAGGTAGAACTTATACTTTCCTCATTAATACAGAAATGCTTTTAAGTAAAAAAATTTTCAACAATTAAATAGATATCGTAAATTTATTGAAGTATATTAAAAAACAATTGGATAATGTTAATAATGCTTGGTATTTGATAAGTTATTCATTTAAGATTCTTTTTTTTTTACGAAAATTGCAATTCCTTAGTGTAATTCAAATAACTCTCAAACATCGTGTATACGTTAAAATTATTTTCGATTGCAGTACAAGTAAGTTCATGCAACCGCCAAACATCGGTTGTACTGAAAGTTTGACCACATCCGATTATTAAATCGAATGCACCAGACGTAGAAATCGAAAGAAAATTAAACAAAAATTGTCCATGAAAATCGTATAAACTCGATGGAAGTTGACCTGCACGCGTAAACTCAACGCATTGCTATGGTCCTTAGTATTTTTGTGTCGTACCTTTGAAAGATGATCCCCGAGTGTCAGAAGCATTAAATACTACTGACACCCGGGGATCATCGTGTACACCACACCGGAATACTTCCAACGTTTTCCGGTACGGTGTACACCATTGGTGCCCAAACCACGGCACGTGGGCTACATGTGGCCCGCGTAGGTATTCTATGCGCCCCATTACGAATTTTCTAAAATAAAAAAAAAATTAAAAATGTATGAAAACATTTTTAAATTATTTATTTATTTATTATATTATTTTTATTTAAATTTATGAATTTGTTTAAATAATTATTCCAAAAAATACAATTTATGTGTACTTCAATTCATAATATTTTCAATAGACAATAAAAGATAAAATAACAAGTTCAATATATAAGATTATTTTTGTACTTTTATACTTTGTGGCCCGCTTGAAGATAATTGTTTACCAAAGTGGCCCGCCAAAGGAAAAAGGTTGGGCTTCACTGGTGTACACGTTCAAAATGATTTTGCGCCGAGCGTCACCCGAAACGATTAAAGATTAATACATTCACAGCCGTACGGGTTCGCGTGCACCGCAGCGGTAAAGATGAACTTGGTGGTTTTGTAATTTCAGCGTATTACGCGCGCGCTCGTCCTGTGCAGCCAAGATCGTCCACCGTACCTGGAACGGTCCAGAGAGGGAGGGGGGATCGGGACTATTTTGGTGGCCACAACATCCATTGCTTTTTATCGTTAACTCCATAACCACCCCCTATTCGCCACTGTACAGGCCTCGCCTTTTAAGTCGCACCAGGCTCCACTAAATTTTACCGTGCCGTTGATCTAACCAAACCGCATTCGTTTGACCGTTTTTCGCAGGCCGGAACGTCGTCGACGCAGTCATGTCGCGCGGTTACTGCAACGGCGGTTACAACAACATGTGCGAAGTGGACCACCGGTACGAGGAGATACCGGACATCGATCCGTCAATGGACTTCTTGCAGATGGACGACACGTCCGCATCGTTCTACTACATGGAGTCGCCCACCCGGTTGCGCAGACCGTCGGCCGCGGACACGCCGGACCCGGCGGAACGGTCGTTGCTGTTGCGCGCCCAACAGCACAACCACTACCAACAGCTGCAGCAGTTCACCAGCAGCGCGCCACCGCCGGCCAGGGCTAGACGCCACACGCCGCCGCCGCCGCCGTCTTCCAACGGCAGGACGGTGGCCGCGGTCACGCCGTGCAAGGCCAGGCGTCGGTTGGACGTGTACGGCACCGGTTGCACGGTCAGTCTGCCGACCACGCCGTCCGGCGGCGGTGGCGGAATCCGGTCGTCCGACGTGTTCGCGCCGATGATGGCGCAGACGACGCCGGCCGCCAGCAAACCGGCCACGGTCCGCCGGACCAGGTCGTCAGCCGCGCTTTACAACAAACACAAGCGGCCGCCCGAGTTCCTCTCCGAATACAACTTGGACACATGCGTGCCGGCCACCGGCGTCCAGTACAACCGGCCCAGGAACACGGCCGTCATACAGCCGATCTACAAGGCTCCGTCGTCTGTGTTCCAGGTAATATTATGTTACGCAATATTATAGCTGTACACTTTTTGACACAGCGCTCAGGCCAGGGGAGGGGTGCAAAATTATACACGTTGTGTTAGGTAAAAATTTGATAAAAATAAAAATATACTTTCTAATATCCGTGATCAGAAATATCAGGATCGAAAACCAATAAAAGTTGACAAACATCTAAACAGCTCGAACAACTTACTTGTTAGTGATAATACGTTCTATCGACGGTTGCATTTACAATGGTAAACGATAGTAGGTGGAAAATGATCGACAATTAAATAGAAAAAGGCGTCAAACCGAGAAAATTGGTACTGTTAAAAGAAAAATAGACAAATATGTATGCATTTTCAAGTCGGTTTAATTTTTATAGAATGTGGACTAAGTACACTTAGTAAAAATGTATGTAAAAATATCGGGTAGAACACGATTGTATACGTTTGTAGATGGGTAACAAAAAGGTAAGTAAGAAGAATAAATAAACACGATTGCGTATGAAATTGTATGCAACGTTGTCAAATTTACTATTTTCACCGTATTATATATAATCATTTTAGAATATATTTACTAACAGTTCTATAACTGTTCATAAAAAAAATTAATAATAAAATAATAAATAAAAGAAAAGTAATTAATAAATAAATAAAATCGACAGTTTTTATTTGAATGAAATTATTGTTAATAAATTATTTGAAAATGCTTAAATTTGGATTCCTTGACAATCTATAACCTACTACTTTTACTGAAACTCAGAAAATAATATAATATAACGGAAAGAATGAAATTTCATTATATCTGATATATTTGATATCATTAACAATTAACATAGGTAAGAAAACACAAAGTATTTATTAACTTTTTCAAGTTCATTAGTATAGATATGTGGTATATATCAATACCGGTATGAAAATTTGCATCAACGTTTAAAACTAGGTACGGAATTGTGTAGCTTAAAAAGGTATCGCCGATAACGAACGTAGGCAATCGTGTTTTATCCAAAATATCTTCAATGAGGGAGTCAGAACACCTCCGCCCCTACACACGTTCCTGGTGGGACTCGTTTTACAATACACAATCAATACAATTCAATTAAAATCGATTTTTTTATAATATAATTTTACCCAGCAATATTAATTGATATAATCGTCGCGAAACGATTGGGATTGGAAACGCAAGACAGTTTCAACTTCGTTGAAAATTAAGGACAACTTATATTATTTAGATATTTTTAAAATTGATTCTTAAGTGTATTTTTCATTCATGAACATAGCATTTCTTTAAAACTAAAATATTCCCTTTATTTTAGATACTATTTTCCACGATAATATTTTAATTTAATTATAGTTTTACAATTTTGAAAATTATCTTTATTTATCTTTATTTTTCTTTATTTTCAAGTCGAAAAAAATGACCTAGTATTTAAAACATATGTTACCTCTTATCAAATTAAAACGGAGTTTTTCATCAAAACAAATGTGTTATAACACAATACGATAACGATATATTCATTTATTTTTAAGACGTAGGAGGTTTTGTACGTATCGATATACTTTACATAGTTATAATTATGATCATACCTCAGAAACTACAAATATATTCACTCATAATAATGACATAAATAAATTGTAACGTAATTTCATTACATTCACATTAAACTTACATTGACATAATCTACTGTACAAATAACATATTGGTCTTAATTTTAATACATCTTTATGTATCACAATACAATATTCATTAATTTCCTGTTACTGTCCATGGTTTTTATCTTATAGTTTAGAATTATTGAAATTAAATTTACTTTAAAATACTTGAGTGACGAACAATGATTTATTAGAATTGTTCTAATACCAAATAGAAATGTTGATGAAAAAAAAAAAAAAAAAAAAAGAGAGAAACGAGGCTGAATCGTTCGATTCGGACGGGAAAACATGGGCATGTCTTCTAGGCAGTTATCAGGAAAACAGAACAGTGAGAAGATATTTTAACATCCAAATACGGCATATTTATGCGAAAAGCAATTACCTTAGGTACAAACGGGTGCGGGTGGTAATAAGAAAATCGTTTCCTATCTGTGTATACGATGAAAAAACCTTGTGATAACGGTTTGCAGTTATGTAGAAAATACGTTGAGGTTTTGCGGTTTTTATTTTTGTATGACGCGAAAATCACCGGTATCATGAATTGCGAATTTCCTAGAATACTCAGGATTATTTTGGTTTTGACAAGAATTTCGGATGGTAAATGTTCGACAACCGTCAAATATGAGTAGAACACTTTCGGTAACTGCCAGGTTAGAATAACGGTGCCTAGGTCAACCTTAAGTTTATCGTTGGTATTATTAAAAAAGTTTCTCATTAACAGTATAATATTATACCTATATGACACCGACGGTGAGTCGTAAGTCCTTGGTAATTCGCTTTAATTTATGTTGGTGTAATTATCTATTGTTGTACCTGTAAAACTGTATGAATTTTTTTTTTGTTTTAACGGCTCAAAAAGTTTTCGGTATTTCGGATTTTACAGTTTACAATGAGGTATGTGGTATGACGTAACATATTTCATGCAAGTGCGTGTGTGTATGTGTGTGTGTGCGTGTGTGTGTGAATGTCTGCACATGTTTTTCAATGAAATTTTAAACAAAATTATCTGATTGCATGTGGGTCAATATAGATATATTGTGCTCGACGAACATCAAGTGTTCAATGGTGTTCCGACACACGGAAAATGTAATGTTTCCGCGTGTTTTGCACACGTTTACCAACGGGAAATTTGAAATGTTCAATTATGTGGTTTGTCTGTACCGGATGGCCGAGGCCGCGTATGGTTAACGTACATGCGGTTTAGCGTACGTGCCGATTATTATAAAAAACACAACTGACCCCGCACGAAATGTTATGTCGATCAATAACTGTTCGGCAAATTCAACCGTACGGTCGGAATTCTGGACGAGCTTAATTCGGTTTTCCTAATGACACGTACGTTTCAAACGTACTGGAGTCGTATGAACACTGTGCGCTGTGATCGACCGGTAAAGCCTCGAGCAATGGTGGGTCCAGGAATTTTTTTTTTAAGGGGGGGGAAGGGGTTGAAAAAATGTTTTCCCTTGGGATATTTTTTATAACATTGCAGTCAGTAATTGATAATGAATTAAGATAATAGTAAGCAATATAATACATTAATTTAAATCTAAAACTATTATTTTCTTGTATGAATATAAATTCGAGTTATATACTTTCCCTCATAATTTTAAAAAAAGAAAATTATTTTTTTTCTGAATTCATACAATTATTAATTTTTAATATATATTTTTCCTGATTTTGAGGATTTTAACCCTCCCCCCTCCCGTGGACCCGCCACTGTGGCCCACGAGTTTACTCTATAAACAATCGTCCACGCGTTTCATAGGTGCTTGTTAACCAGCACCTGGGGCCACACGGTGCCCGAAGCGAATAATAACTGTCGATCGATAACCAATAACGACGGTGCGATATCGATAATGACAATTCGCTATTCGAAAGTTACGCGAGTACCGCGTATACGAAACAAAAATCACTTCGAAAATAATCTTCGCGTATTTCTACACGAGTTTCACTGTTCCTTGCACGGCGGCGGCGCCGAGATATTTTCACATCAGCTGCGGCTCGGTTCGGTGTCGCCGCCCCCGCGTGTCCCGCTCGGGGATTACCAAATCGAATTGGCACCATTTGTTCGTGCGCACCTGATCCCGTCGTTCGCTCCCCCCGAGTGACGTGCGAGCCTTCAGAAACAGCACTTGAATAAGTTACGCGCACAGTTGCGAAATGCGAACTCCCGCGAACGAAAAAAAATCGAATAAAATCAAGCGATCCATAATAACGGTAGAGACGTTGTACAGACCGGGCATGTAAAACACGAAGTATCGAGTGGGCCAAATAAATAAATAATAATAATAAATAAATAAATCGCATAAAAATGTGACCAAAAAAAAAAAAAAAAAATTATATTATATTATACAAACATACAACCATCAACGTAACTTATTCGTCTACAGTTTATCGGAACATAAGGCCAAACATTACGCGTACCAAATATAACGACGTTCTCCAAGAGTCCAAGACGCGACATTAATATTTTATAAATTTTTTTATCTTGTCGATGGATATCGATTGCGGACGAACGGTGACGTATACACGATACGTTGACCTCAAGTCGTTATGGGTGGGGGGAGGCATATGAGGAACGCGGAACACTGATCGGCCGGTTTATTGTTTGCAGGTGGAGGAGAAGACGCCGGAGTCGCCCGGCAAACCGTCGTGGTCGCACACGCCGCCGGCCAGGACGCCCGTCCAGCTGCTGCCGGTGTGCACGCTGTGGTCCGCGGCCATGGTGCTGGTGGTGTCGGGCACGGCCAGCTGCATGCTGTGCTTCTACCTGATGTCGCGCCGCGGCCGCCTGTACTACCTGAACGCCGGGCTGCTGGCCGCCGCGGTGTGCCTGGTGCTCGGGTTCCCGGGGTTCCGGTCGCAGCAGTGGCGGTGGCTGCCCAACCGCAACTACGTCACCGGTTACATACTAGTGGCGCTGTTCAGCGCGCTGGAGACGTGCGCGCTGTGGCTGATGTGCCAGAGCACCGTGCTGGACCCCGCGCTCAACGACATCGGCGCCGGCGTGGTGTGCGGCATATCCGCGCTGTCCGTCACGCTCGCCTGCCTGGGCGTCAGCACGTCGTACTGCTGCCGGTACCCGCCGCCCGACAACCGGGTCGCTCACGCCGTCGAAGGGTTCGTCGTGTAGACCGCGCCGCGGTACAGTCACCGACCCGTGTCCTCCGCTCCGCGAACGTCGATCCATCCGGGAGGCTTCGGTCTTATCGAAAAACCGCGTCGAAATACCGTGCTCGACGCACGGGTTTTTGCGTATTTTTTTTTCCACAACCGACCGCATCAGAAGTGTATCCGAAAAACCTACCGACCTGCAGTCGACCGGTTAACTTTGAATTTTCTCCGGTCCGGAGCCCGACTTGTTACATAATTTTTCTATCGATCTGCGTTTAAATTTCACGAACACTTATAAATACCATAATGCGATCGATTCCGTTCTTCGACTCGATCGAATATTTCCACGCTCCACTTCGATTTTTTATCATCAGACGTTTTCTTGGCAAAAAAAAACCACATCGACGTTAAAATTATAACGCAACGCGTACAATATATCCTCTCGACTTGGTTTGCAAAAAAAAATATGTCTGAAGCGACCGCCGAGTGGGTATTAATATTAAAGTACGCGTGAACCGAGTTCCCGGTTGTTGGTGTGATGGCATCGGTAGCAATATCGCGAAATTATGACTAGATATTTATTACATTTATTTTTTATTTTTCACATTGTGGGCAACAATCTTTAGAACTATATTATGTCATACGATTTATTATTAAAAACGTAATAAATACGAATCTCTGTATATGTTGCATAAAACGAGTACGTGTAAAATGCATACAACTTTTATTTGAAAACGTCTAATGTTATAATATATTTAAAGCGGTTTCTGCAAATTCGAATACAAGACCACAAAATGTACATACTTGTAGTCGTCTAGTTTTTAAGATGAAATATACGTTATGTGTTAACTATTTAAGTACAAATGTTTATCGATTTTATCATGTTATATCTAGGACATTATTATTGATTCATATAAGATCATATTCAATATATTTAATTAAATGATGATTGCAGAAACTTCACAAGTCGTAAATTTTTTGAAATTTATATATTAGTGTATTATATATATACATTATTATATTATAATAATATATTATTTTGTAAAACCGTTTTAATTTATGCTTTTTTTTCTGATTAAAAAAGTACAACTAAAAACATTTTTATATTAAACGCATAGAAACACATAACTATAGTTCATGTTTTTTATTATTATCTCAATTTCATAAAATATATTATTCGTCACGTTTCTGCAATCATCGATTCATTTAGAATTTAATTACCTATATATCGAAAATGTTTATATTGTCCAAGTAGTAGTACATACATTATTACTTTATGTGTTTATAACGATGAATTTATATATTGTATTTTATATTCTTATATGTATCATATTTTTACATCTATCAATTATGTTAATCAATGATCATAATCAGATGTGTGCATGGACATTTTTTAGAAGGGGGAATCCGGAGGGTTATTATCACTGTAGTAAGGTATTTATTTATGTTAGAGTTTTTTTTTTTTTTTTGTTTTTTTAGCTTTCAACAATAAATAAATCGATAATTAAGCTTATATCATAATTAAATGTTAGAAATGTTGGAATATCGATATAAGTAAGATAAATTATATTTAGAATATTTGTTATAATATTGTTTTGTGGTGTTTCGATGTTTATTAAATACTAAAAGTCTATATTATTTACTATTGTTGAATATCAATTTCTAATAAAATATTTCAAAATTGTACTTAACATAATATTAAGAACACTTTTAATTAAATTACAAAAAATATGCGTGAACATAAAAATGTTGTAAAAAAATGATTATATTTTCAATATAAAAAAAAAAAAAAATAAGAGAGAACGATAAACGTAGGAGCAGGTACCCATATATAATTTAGATGATCGAAAAAATCCTTTTGGTAGAATTTTTTTAAATAGAAATACAAAATAACAAATTTAAATAAAACCCATTGTAAATAAAATCATTAAATTCCTATTGCAACAGCTAAAATCACACATACTCGTACACATTGTTTTAAAATATTGATGCTTCAACTGTCATAATACGATTTGATTTATTTTAAATAACTTAATTATATTTCGACAATTAAGTGAAATAAAATAAAATCATAACCTAAGTAATTTTAATAGATTATATATTAGACTTATATACATTATTTTAATAAAAAAAAATTAACACTCCTATCGTGAATAATGTATTCATTGTCATAGTTTTTATTTTTGGTAAAATATATCCTCAGTAAGTAAAATTTAATACAATATTAGTAATATTCCTATCAATAAATACAAAAATTGGTGTGATCACAAACAAGACTTTGTATTTATTTTTTAAATTAATGCAAATGATTTAATTTTTATGAGAAAAATTTATATTAGCACATTAAAATGAGTTTAATTCGTTATAAAATACCTATTTAGGGCTTACACATAAAAATAAAAATATTATTTTATTTTATTACTATAATTGTTGGAGTAATGACCTAGTTACACATTCATAATTTATATTGAGACGTATATGTTAAAAATTTACTTACCGACATTTCGATACTTGGATGATCAATGAAAACCATTTCAGATTCTTCGCCGTCTAAGAGTATAGAAACTGTTTTTTCGCCAAACTCGTCGTCTGAAAACGTAATAGAAAATTATCCACAAATATTATTCAAAGCAAATATATTGTGATTTCCTATTTAATAATAAAACATTATTTTTTAGTTTGGCTTTACATCAGATCTATTCTGAAATTGAAAACAAAATAAACCGGAGATTCTTTTGATTATTCCAAAAAAACATTATTGTATCATAAAATAAAAGACTTAATATTAACTCCATATATCATTTAAATTCCAATATATGTACAACCGACGTTTATCTAAGGGTTAACATCACTTCAAGTACAAAAACAATTCAAAAAAATTAATTAAGTCAGTTAAAGTGGATTCGAACAATTTGCACAAGAACTTAACGTATCTTCGTGTACTTTTTGAATAAAGAATGTTGACTGCAATATTGTTAGAGATTTTGGTTGTCTTTAAGTGTTATTTTCTCAATATTAATTAATTGTATTGTTATTTTAACAAATAATTTTTTAAAAAAAGGCATTTTATAAGTATAATAAAATATATTATAACATTTGACAAGTGCTATTTAATTTCTTCATAAACAAAATATCTGTATACTTTTTAAAAATGGTAAAAAAAAATTAGAATGGATTCATAGTTATTTCGGAAAGCATGAATCTAATTGAAATCAAGAAAATATTTGATAGAAAATATTTTGATATCTACTAAATATTATACCATAATAAATAAAAACTTAAATAAAACTTCATTTATAAAAAAAATTATATCCGTAGTAAACCAATTTTTACTTCTAGAGTACAAAAATATTTTTATTTTTTCATTAATATCAATAAATAATAATGAAGCAGATTTTAAGATTATTCATTTATTTTTGGACAAAAATATTATCATTAAATTCTATGAATTTTAAATGGCTTATTTGCTGGCCAATGAATAGTAATAGCCTAATAGAACAGAATATTTTTATGCATGTGAATCATGAAATCGTCCAAACGTGAATAGCAATGTAAATATTATAGTCTATTGAGTATCTAGTGGTTCTTGGCACGATTTTGATTTATAGTTTCGGAACAAATTATGGGATCCTTATGTCAGATTCACGTAAGTATATCAAAAACAATGTAGTATTATTTAAAGTGTAAATAATGTAATATCTAAAAATAAAACAATTAGGACCCAGTTTTGCTAGATATTACCTACCTAGTTGAACTATTTGTAATATTGATAAAAACTGTTCAAGTCAAATTAAATTAAAATTAGACACTCACCAAACTTCAGTATATTGTTTTTACGTCAAAACGTGATTGTTATAAGCAAATTTGTTATCTTTAATAAAATGTTAACTGTGGCCTCAATAATTAAATCTATTTAATCCTTTTAAATGCGTACACGAGGACAGTCTCAAAGATTAATTGGGTCTGTTTGAAAGTTATATACTGAATTTAATTTAACCATTTTCTAAAATATAAATTTTATTTATTAATATTTGAACATCTACAATCTATTATGATTATGGTAATATTATGGACATAAAATTTAAAAAATTAATTTATAACAAAGCTGTACATTTTTGACAAAATAAAGCATGTTAGTAAATCTGCAGTTTATTAAAAAAATAATAATAAATATTATATAGTTATTTGTTTATTGTTCTTTAATAAAATAACTTTTTTATAAATTTATAATTTGTATGGATTGTAATCCTAAAGATTAAAAGCTAAAAGTAATCCCCTCTTTTTAATAAAAAAATAATACATAAAATATAGAAAGATATATGTTATTAAGAACATTATATCAAAACTAAATAATTACAAAGATAAGAAAGTATTTACGAAATATTTTAATTATATTAAACAAAATGTCTATATAAATATATTGTGACAATTTTAAAATGAATGACAGTTTCAAAAACGCTGGAAATAATAAAACTTAAAATTTTTATATAATGCATCAGGAAATCTATTTAATATTTAAATTTTGCCTAAGTGAATTAAAATAGATGAAAAATTTAAGATATTAAAATAAAAAATCTTTTTCACTTATAAAATGTTAAATTTTTTTAATTTTTGGTAATTATAAAAGATTAAAATATTTATTACAAACGATTAAGAGAAAAATAATATTTAGTATTTAATATTAAGTATTTCAAAATATTTGTCTCAATAATTAAAAAGATAACCTACACCATAACAAAATAGGTTTATGAAACAATCGTTGTTTCTCAAAAAACATCTCGCATTATTTTATACAATAAGTTAAATGCATTTTTGAATATGAAATTAAGTAGTTATTTTAAGAACATATTTTTGTCAATTTTATACTAGATATTTCTGTTTTTAAAATTATATAAATAAGAAACCCATTTTGAAATATACATATAGGCTATGTTACATGAAAATATTTAGAAAAATTTATCAAACAAATTTTGATTTTAATTAAAAAGAAATTGAAATAGTATTAAAAATAATACAATAGATTTACGTTTTAACTAAATTTATTATTATTGTCGTATATTTCATATTAACTATACATTTTCAATAAGTAATTATGTGTATAAAAACTCCATAAAAATGTAATATTGTTTAGTTTTATAATACAATAATAAATTATATTAATATGTTAAGTATATTTTATCATTTTATTATGATCTACCACAATTTATATTAGAAAATGTATCAATGCTTTAATTTTTGAAATTGAGTGATAATGATCCATGGATCTAGGGGGAGCACTGGGTTTAAGTGCCACCCTTATAGGAAAAAAATAAAGTATATTTAAAAGAACTAAATAATATATTGGAAAAATAAATATTGAAAGATATTCTACTATATTGTCACATTATTTTTTGGAAGGGAGTAAGTTCTCTTCAAGCATCCCTACAAACGCTTATGATCAATCATATTATATAATTTATTGTATAAAGTGCTTCAACCATAAATTAATGCTGGGTCCATCCTTTTTAAGATCACATCAATTCACACAATACTGTATTTCAAATATCTGTGGTATAAGGTTTAAGGGTTTTCAGAAGAAGAAATGGAACTAACAATAAATTGGGTTTGAGAGGTGAAGACCAAGAGTGATAAAATTATTATTATAATAAAGAATTCTGCTATTCTAATTCCTGAATTATTTTTCTGTGATGAATCCACAGGTTTTCATACTCTGTATGTTTTGGTATCGTTACATTATACAATAGTACATTTTAATTATTCTAATTTTTTTTTAATTTTATCTTAAATCATAAATATATCATGTTGTTATTAAATGATGATACATTAAATACATTCATTTTCATCAGTTTTAAATTTATTCTTTATTAAATACTTTTATTGAAATTTTTTGGTTGCATATAGATTTTCAATATAATTAATGGAATATATCAAAATTATGATATTAGAAATATTGGTGCTTAGGAAATTAATATTGTTATTCAACTATATAAAACCTATTTTATTTTAATTTTTATATTATTTAAATAAAATATTTTCAGATTTTTGGTGATATTTTTATGATGTATATTAACGTGCAAAAATATTTGTGGTATTTTTAACCCCTTTTTTTAGCCTCATAAAAGTCAAAAATCAAGCATCAATGTTTGTTTATGAACGAGTTTAAATCCGGTAACCCTATTTTTAGTATAAATAACATCAGATACGAAAAACAAGCTACATTATGTTTACAAAAACCTATTTCAAACTTTCTGATAAAATATAATAACTTCAATGCAGTTTACAAACTATTGTGTCTGGTAATTTTCAATTTGTTTTGTATACAAAGAGAACCATGGCATATTCTATTTTCCTGTGTTAACTTTACTAAACAGACTTTCAAGGAAAACATTCCAGGCTACACGGTATGTATCTAATCTTAGTTGTATCTCAATTTGTTGATCTTAAAATAAATATAAATCTATATAAAGACAAAACTAGATCAATATTAAATCAGATTAGTTTGTTTCTTCTCAACTTACTAAATTACGAAGCAAAAAAAAAAAAAAAATGTAATTTTTCTTCGATAAATTACAGCAATATATTATATATATATATATTATGATTACCTTTAATCTATTAGTAATAAAATACGATTGAAATTAAATATAACTAAGGATCGGATGTGAATATAAATTTGTGACATCCGATTGAAGTCATAGTATAATAATAGGTAGTAAACTGATTTCGAAAGGATTTTATATTACTGATATAAAACTACGACTAAATAGACATAGTAAAATAAAACTTTAAGATTATATCTGACTATAAAATGCATTATAGTTTGGTAAAAATCTCCAAAATGATTAGCAATTAGCATACACGATCATGATTCACAAAAATAAATTAATGTATTCATTCTTAACTAATTTTTGATACGCGCATATAATTTTGATGTGAAATAATATTACTGACAAATTATCAATGTTAGAAAAATCGTTGGCTATTGGTATTTATTGCTTTTAATTCTGTAAATAGGAAATATTAAATCAAATTTAATTTTACTTACTACGTGAACCTGATTATAATATTTCAAAGAATAAATTAAACCCACCAAGTGTTTGTGTCATTTTCGTAGGTACAACGAAATACGAGTGAAATACGTGGCCCAAAGAGATTTCGCTTTTTATGATAATAATCTCTGATAAAAATTCAGATGGTGTCGATATTACATTGTTTCACAGGAATTTGTAAATTCTTTGTAACGTTTGATTTCGATCAATCGTAAAATAGTCTTATTGATTATAAAAACTAAATCGACTTACCAAGAGACGCGTCGTACGTGTTTATGTATTCTGATGTCATGAACTGTGAAACAAGCGCTGTTTTGCCGACGCCTGATTCGCCGAGAAGTACTACTCTGTACTTGGGAATATCTTCGGCAACGCTCGACTCTCCAGAGCTCAAATCATTGTAACTACTATTGCCACCGCAACACGAACCATCGAAAGGTGAAATTCCACTTAGATTACTTGGACTGTGTCTGGAAAAAAATAATAGTCCGTATAAATAAATTTATCTTGACTGAATATTATTTGTTGATAATTCATCATTATATTATATTCTGCCCTAATGTTATATGGTATGAACAGTAATCTGCAATGGCATGGCAAACGTTTACAAACAAAGATGTACAACTTTATAACCACTTAATCTATTTCATAAACATCTCGCCACCTATGAAATATTTGATGGATGTATATTTTATGCTTTTGTGCTTATTATCGTACGTTTGAGGTATTTCAATACAATTCTAAACAATTATTTAAAAAAAAAAGTGTTATAATACCTGTAAAATTAACTATACCAAAATTTCGACGATGACTTCTAGACACATTAAAAACCCCTTCGCCATGCTATTGCGACGGAGTATAATCAATTATATCAACAGTATCATAAATCCTCATAAACACTTATGAAGCTGATCGACGCGACTATGTTTTCTTTGTTCATGTTATTTTCGTACACGTATTATACATGAGCAACTACTATAAGAATAATATTATCGAAAAACCACATGAATGTGTGTTGTGATTATGACAGTGGTGTAGACAATTTTTTTACGCTTATCTCAAAAGTTTCATGAATAATTTTCGATCAGTTTTATGTTTTATAGAAACACTTTTTTTTATAACATTCCTAATATAGAACCGTATGCTCTAATTATAATACCACATGCCTGGTTGATACATATGTATATCGATTGAGTTATGTATTTATAATTTATAGCGTATAAATTGTATAATTATGAATTAAAATATTAAATCAAAAACCGTTGAAAACCGTTAAAAACCATGATGCATAACAATTTTATGTACTAGCGTAAAACGTATTGTTACCGAAATATTTTAAATAGTGTTTGAAACGACATACATTTTTTCTCTTCTTTATATAACTGCATATTAATAAATTTATATTTATATGTAAAGAATTATAGTGATTTATGTAAAAAAAGATTAATTTTATAACGTATATGTTAGTAGTCATAATATGAAATTATAATTTTGTGTGATTCAAGTGTTTCATTTATTAAATTTATTTCTACTTAAAATAAAACCTTAAATAAATGGTTATTATAAACTTACTACTCTACACAGAATATTTAAATTTGAAGTAAAAATTTTGGTTTAATAAATTTGTTTAAAATTTTGTGAATGTCTATTTCATTTGAGTGATTATCATCGAGTAATAATGGTAAATTAGTTATCATAAGTACCTACTTATGCTATTTATTTATATTTAAGCTTATATTGAAGAAATAATTAAATTAGTGTCTGGTTAGACAAACCAAAATAGATTTGACATTTTTTAATTATAATATATATTTATATGTGGCAATGTATATACTAGAAACTGGAGGTTGCATATAATTATCTCGTTTTATTCACTTCCATATTATCCAGTTTCGTATTCATACTATATAATATATTTGAGTACAATGATAAATTATCTTATTATTTAAAAACACTTTTCAAAAAAATTGTTGATAGGACGTTTATCAAGTTTTAATGCTAATTAAAATAAAAGAATGAATAATGATTTTCAAAATGTGTTGAACACATAAAAATGAATATGATTAATAGAAAATAACCTTATATAATTATTTAAAGTCAGAAAACTTAATGGCTTTAACTGTAATTTATATTAAAATAAATAAATCGACATTTTTTTTTTTATATAACTCTATATACTTTAGTGAAAACAAATTATATTATTGATGCTATTGAAATATAGTTGGAATATGAGATATTATTGATAAACTTAACATTCTGTTCACCTTAAAATGAATTATGTAATTTATAATAATTTCATAAAAAATATCCTAAATTATTTTAATAAATTTAATATTAATAATTTTAAAATGTTATTTTAGCTTATCAAAATCTATGTTTATTTTCAATCTATTGAATCATAATTGAATATTTTTTCAACTCTAAAAACTACTAAAGTATACGAAAAAATATTTTTGATTATTTTATTATAAAAGCAATATGAATAATAAGCATTTAAGATGAAGTTAAATTTTCAAAGTTCACCCATTGTTAGGTTGAGTAAAAATCACAACATAACGGTAATCGTACACTTTCTAAAATATAGTTAAATAAAATATATACCATAAAAATACAATATATTTCTTGTTTCTTGTTTTTTTTTTTTTTTTTTTTTTTTTTTTTTTTATGAATCTATCATAATTAAAAACATTTAATATTAATATATTGCTGAGAATTATTACATTTGAGTTTCATTGATTTTGTTCTCAAGAAAAAAAAAAAATTGCCACATCCCTATATTTATATACATCATTCAACTTTAACATTGAAACCCTTACAATCTTATGGAATATTCTTATACCTATTCTTATCTTTACTTATATTATATTTTTATTTTATACCATTATTTAGAAAGTTTAACATTTGGTAAACAAAAACTCTAACCTACATTAATTTCATTAATAGCTAGTTTTTTTAAAAATACTTACAATTTACTCCAAATTGAAAACAAATGGTTTTGTGTAGAAATTGAACCTATATTTTCTATACCAAATTTAAAATATAATTAGGCTATAGCAAGAGATAAATTAAAATCCCTTTTTACATGGTGATATCGAATAAAGTTTTGATGGATTCATAATGTATATTTAAATAAATGTCATTAAATTTTAAATTTTAAATAGAATTCCAATAATTATATTACCTATATTGTTTCAAATAACGAAGTCTTATTCCAACATAATTGACAAATAAAACGGTATTATATGTTTTCTAATTAATGAAAAATTATGCCAGAACAACTTCAATTAATGTTCATAACATTTCTCTATAACTAACATCGTTGGTGCAGCATTACTCTATTAATATTCGTGTTAATGTTGTAGACATTATATTGCTAAAATTCTTTCAAATAGATTGCACAATGCAATTTGTTTTATTAGATGAAATGGAAACGTGTAACATTAAGTCTTCTCTAAATCTCCTTTTTCTTGTATTCTTTTTTTTTATCTGTATTTTCCCTCTGGGCGATAAACATCAGACATTTTTCCGTTAACCCGATTCTTAAGCGCTTGCATCAATTCACTGCCAGCTCTACGACTTCCATATATACTAGGTTTGATTGATAGCTGAACAGTCTGAGTTGTCGTAATGGACGTTAAAAATATTTGCATATAAGCGAATATATTTAATTAAAACCCAGTGTTAAATACGGCATAATAAACCAGGTTTACAGAAACCATTATGTAGAATTACAGTTTTTATTCTTGTTATTAAAATTTTAAACTATTGTTAAACATAGCCACACTGTTGTAATGAAATATTTTTACAAAATACAAACGTATATTTAATTATTTTAATTTTTCACTATTACAATCTATCATAATACTCAGTATTAGTGTTTTAGTGATGATTGGTCTGTATATGTTTTAAAGTGTTAAATATGAATATAATAATCTGAAAAATATTTAAAAAAACCTCACACATTAACTATATTAGTGAATAATAATATTTACTGTATTAAATCGCTTTGCATTGTATAGGTAAAGTATTAATATATTTTATAAAATAATACATATAAATAAGTTACACCAAAAAATTCCGACTGGTTCAAAAGTTAATGTGGTATCATACCTTACTATAATTAACGTTCATTTTAGAAATTATTTTATTCTATTCGAATTTCGCATACGAGTGAATGGCAGTATTCAAAATAATAACTTCTTTAAAAACGTTCGATTGTTTTCGTATATCATTTTTATTTAATTTAAAATAATGAAGTATCCACCGTATATTTACACTATACGTATTATTTATATTTTCAATACTGTTATATTATGTTATTTTCAAATGTACATCTAATATTTGTTAAATAAAGAGTTAAAATTGAGAAATTTATCAATCTACTACAATAAAAAAAAAAAATAATACTATTTATTAGTGTTTTAAAGACGGCTCATGTTTATATTTTAAATTATATTAAAAATAAAAAAAAAATAGGGTTAAATAAATGAGTTTATTAGTATAATTGGTTTTATAATATACATGTTAATAATATTAGTTGTTAATAAATTATTTATTCCTGATTGCTTTTAAATACATTTTTAAAAAAATTAAAGAAATATTATATTAATATATCATATTATGTTTTTTTTTTGTTTATTTATTGTATTATATTATAATAATATACAATATCATGTATGCGAATACATCAATCATTTTTATAAATTGAAGAGGTTTCCAAATAATAATAAAATAGGAATTTACATAGTCCATGTTTAAAACGATTACATAATATCGTGTTGAACAAGTGAATTGGTTGGTTGTTTTATTCGGATATTTATTTTGATTGAAACGCCACGCCAATAACGCGGTCGTCGGTTGCTATAATCATTGATAAGTATATTGTAATCGCGGCGAGGTCGGATGACACCCACAATGAGTTAGGAACAATTATTTGATCATTTATGCAACGTTACCTATCGTCAGTCTGTATAAACATTATTTTAGTGTCCGAAAACCCCTATATCAACGGTTACTAACCCTTTCGAGACAATCACCCGCAAACCGGGTTAGATATTGGTAAATACTCCTATCCACTAAAAAAGCACGTGTGCCAGGACTAACATAAAACCCGCATTATCAGGTTATCAGTTATCGTAATCCAATTAGACCGATATGTGAAACTGCAATGATGGATATATCTCTATATATAGGTTTATACATATATTGTATAAAGAAACATTTTATTTTTTTATGTTTGTACTTATGTAAAAATGGTTAATTTCGCAGAAGATAATCGAGAGTACACTGATAAATATAATTTGAAGATAAAAAAAAAATAATAATAATTGTAATAAGAGGTTACATAATAAAATGTATAATAAAATAAATACCTAATATGTACATAAAAAAAAAATAGTCCAGTCTATACCCCTCAAAAAATCATATTTTATCCTTTAGGAGGTAATTACTCCTTGGTTGAGAACATGGGTTATCTGTCTATAATATAAAATCAATGCTAGTATCTTTTCATTCAAAGTTTGCAGTACACAAAGACATTTTCCAAATTTTTTACGAATTTGTTTGAAAATACTCTCTACTTTATTGCTATTTACTGTTTAATTGTAATAAACTTACAAGTGTTATATACGTTTTATAAAAAGCGGTCTATGAACAAAATCACCAACATTATACTAAAATAAACAGATTTTTGTGTGCACGACATGTTGTGTATCACAGTAACCACTGTTATATCGCATATGCAGTCGTATACAGAATTAGTTTTGTCTATAAAATTAATAAATTTGTTTTAATTTAAAATATTATAACGAAGAAGATACATTAATTAATAAAATTATTTATTTTTTCTGTTATAATTCCCAATGATATTAGTAACAATAGTTATAATGAACTTAATCACCATCGGGTCCCTCTAATTTTATTTTTTCTTAAAACCATTTTCTACAATTGATATCCTTCATACAAAAAACTCATCTTGAGTCTGGACAGTCGAAAAACATAAAATGGACACTTCGAAATGTTGTTCTCTACATAACTCATCCCCATGATTAACGTTACTCCGAAATTCAAGTAAAATAAAACCTTCGTTAGTATTATTATTAACATATGGTCATAAGTATAATATCAGTTAAAAAGCATATTTATTAATTCCTTAAGGATTTCAAAACTACTATCAAGCATTAATTAGAATAATTATTATCAATAACATATACATTTTTTACATTCCTCCGTATCCACTTCACTTCTATTTACTTATATCACACTTAGATAATTTAGATTAATATATAACATAATCATATATATTTATTTTAATTCTTATTTGCCTTTTAAAAATATATATTTCTCTTATAATATGTATATTTACAGTCTTATAATACTTTAGTAATAATCAAGTTTTAATTATTTCAAAACATTTGTACATTATAGACAAAATTTAGTTCTGTCAAAATTTGTTATTAGTTTTATAATTTTTTGATCTATATCAATTTGATTTAATTTGGCGAAAACTGTCGAGAAACGTTTTAACACCAAAATGCTTTTTCATTTGATTTATTTATAAATATGTAAAAATTTATATTTACGATTTTAAATTTCAGTAGTTTTTAAAAAACTATTTCGCTATAAACTTTGTATAAAATGCGGAAAAGATTAGTTTTACCATAAATTTAAAAAATATTTTTAAAAGAGTTTACTGTTAACGATTAGTCACTTTACATAAGATATTTTTTTGTTAATAGTATTATATGATAGTGTTATCCTAGGAAATAATTTAATACATTAAAAAATTAAGTTTATTAAAATGTCAGCCCTGTTTTCTACCTTTATAAGTGTTAAAAGAATAAATCAAGCAGATCTCTCAAAGATGAAAAATATTTGAAATTAAATAAAATAAGTCTAATAATTTATGCTATTGAAAATATATTAGATAGTTCAGTAGTAATAAAATTGAATATTTAATTATATTTTAGCTTATACTAAACTTTATTACATAATGAGGGTTTAAATATATCAAATTTTGATTAATTCAAAAGAAATTTGTCTTATTGACTATATAGTTTATGTATAATATATTTTTTACTTAAAATGAATATAGAACATTAAAATTTAAATGTACCACATTTAGTTTTAGTATTTAATACTACGTTTCAATTTCATTATTTTAACAACTTAATATTTTAAAATGTTATCACATAAGGCAATGCAATTATAATGAAAATAAACACTTATATAGTATATTATATAAATATATGTAGAAAAATATTCACTTGCTAGTTGTTGAATTGACGCTAGTATTACTTCTGGATCTTCTGTTAATGATGCTATCACCACAATTCACCACTCCACCTTTATTGGTTATACTGAATGTTCGAAGTCGATACAACTCATCACCAGACCTTGGATTGTATGGTTTTTCTGGAAGACTGCATACACGTGGCCTTATATGGTCTGGAACTGGAACAAAAGTAAGAATAAATATCATCAGTGTCATACTTAAAAAATGGTCGCTGTTAACTGTAAATCATAACATTATAATATTACGATTAAAAAATTGAACTACTTAACTCTAGTTTAATACTGATTTATTTTTATTCCATTATCTAATGTATTCGGTAGAATCTATGAGTTTTCGCAAAAAAAAAACCGTGCTCAAGTATAAAGTGGATACATTAGAAAATATATGTGGTATACGTCTATTTTATGACGTCTGTTGTAATACGTCTTATAATATTAAAATAGTAGTACTGAAATTTTAAAGTTTTTAAAATAGGAACATTATAGCATTATTTATATTTACAATATAATATAAAGTAAATTGAAAAAAATCGCAAGAGGAAACATTGAAAATTGCAACAAACCGATCAAACTGTTTAAGACGCGAAGAAGTATTTACCTATAAGTAATCGTTATAGTAATTACATATAAATGTTTTGTATACTGATATAAAACAATAAAATAATTTATTGTTATGTTGTTTCATGAATTTCATAATAATATATTTCATATAATTGTTTTAAAGTCAACCGTCTTATTTTAAACTGTTGTGTTTATACGTTACAATATTTAGTACACATAGTACTTAAAAATAAGGAAAAGGAATACTTTTTTTTTTTATCTTACCCCTTTAATATTTTTATACAGAATGCTATGAACAGAGTACCCTTGCATATATTAAAATAATATTATTTAAATTCAATTTTATTACAGGGCAAATTTATTGAATATATGGTGAAATGATAAAATACATATAGTGTAGGTTATAAGTTTGGTATAGGTTACATATATATATATATATACGTTATATTGGTTACATTTAGGTTCATCCAGTTTAATAACTAATTTTACAGTCCATAAACCTAAGTTAAAATCCTCAAACATTCATATTTTTGATAATTAAACGTACATATATTTAAAAAAATTACAATACACAAATAATAATAATTATTTATATAGCACAAAATAACCATATTTTATCATATTTTTATAATAAAAATTTATAATGATGTAAAAACAATTATTGAAATATAAATCTAAAGCAATAATGCAAAGATGCATACCTATATTAATTATTAAATATATTTACGAGTGCTATCAATTAATAATATAATATATAAATATTTATACATACATGTACTTTTGTGTATACATGCTACAAAATAAAATAACTTTCCAATCCATTAATGACATATATGAGTCAATATTTCCAAGAAAATAAACAAAAATTATAAATTTAAAAAAAAAAAATTAAAAACAAAATAAAATTACATGAAAAATATATGCAAAAACACACTCTCAACACTTTAAAACAAATTACTTATTAATATCATCACAGAAACGGTTTCTATACCATTAATGTTGATATTAATTTATTTTTATACTTCAGACTTCAAATTAAGGCTTTTTTGCTATCATAATTATAAATAAATAGTTTTTTTTTAATCACATTTTTTAATTTTTTTAACTCTTGTATAAAAAAAAAAAAAAAAAAAACATTGATCATTTTGCCGTAAAATGAGGTTAATCCTGACTTTCACTATACGTATACCGCTGAATATAGTAAGACAAATACTTAATCCTCAAAATATTATGCCAAATAATTATAAAAGTATAAATCCGTAATTACACGTAGCTTGATAAATAGTTTATCAGAGGAGGTACTTTCAAAATGTGATTTAAGTTTTAATGAAAAACTTAATTTTCTGGATAACTGAATACAATTAAATAACCGTATAACTATATATATATAATACTAGCTGAATTACCCGGCTTCACCCATGTGTAGTTTTTACTTGCTCAAAATGCAATTGCTAAATCAACACACATTTTTGTGTTTTAAAGAAGAAAAAAATTTTATTTTACTTAATGCTATCAAGTGCTATTAGTAGCTGAATTATAAATAAAACAAAAAAAATATTAATAATATTTACAAATGACTCTTTACGTAGTTGCTCAATTCTAATATGGCTTAAGTCAAAACCTCTTGGTTTACCACATTCTGAATTTTATTTTGTGATACATAAACATATAAATGGTCAGGTCTTCCTACTCTAGACAATGCCACATACAATTGCCACGTGAAAAACTGCTATTTTCAAAATCTACACCACGGTAAGCTAAAGTCTGACCTTGGGTTTTATTTATTTTTATTGCAAAACAGACTTTTATTGGAAATTGAACTCTTCTAAACTTAACTGGAAAATCGTTGGGGTATAATTATACTTTTGATAAAAATATTTTTTCTCTCTTAGCACATACGGTCAAAATTTCAGTTTCAATTATATTTTTTGTAAGAGAGGTTACACGGAGCCTAGTCCCATTACATAATCTAAGAGAATTCAAATTTCTCAATAATATGATTGGAACTCCTAACTTCAGTGATATTTTATGAGGAGGCCTACCAGATGGTGTTTGTGAATTTAAAAACTCGGTAAGAAAATGTACCGCTTCTTCACTATTAATAACTATCGATAGATAAGTAATCCATTTCTAGTGCTTGAAATCCACTAATTATTAGCGAGTTTATTGAGTCAGCTCGGCGGTTATTTGTGGTTGTCAAAATAACGCGGTTTTCCATATAATCCTACATAAATCATAGCAAACGTAATCGGTTAACTGCTATTATTGTTATATTACTTGTTATTATTATTATATATGAATATAGATATACAAATTACATTTAAAAAATTATTTTTGCCGATTTCAACCCTTTAAAATCATAATTTTGAAAATCAGATGATGTAGTGACACTAAGGAAGTTATTTGGAACAATTCTGTAAAAAAAAAATTTGGAAAAAAGTTAAATAACGTCGTCACAAAATGGGTACATAAAAATGGCCTCTTCTTTTATATATATAAATATAAGGATGTAACTATGTATTTATTTGATTGACCTAAGGTAATAAATGTTATAACTGAAACATAAATCATATTATTGAAACTCTAATCTAAATTACAAATTTAGACAAATTTAGTCATTAATTTAAACAAAACAATAGCCTTTTCCAGTGTCAATTTTAAAGTTGTACAATAAGTAAATATTTTTAACACCAGCTTTCAATTCTAATTGTAATATATAAATAAATAAACAAACAGTTAATATATAAAAATAAATAAATAAAACCTTAGCCTGAAGTATTATTATATTTGTAAAGTACCATCGGTTTCGAATTAAAAATATATAATCAAGTATATACAAAGTTAATAAAACACTTTATATATATCCAATGATGAATTTTTAATTCAAAACAGGTCGTACTTTACAAATATAACAATACTCAAGGTGAAACTTTTATTTATTTATTTTTATACACAAACTATTTGTTTATTTATTTATTTATTAATTTATGAGTATTAACTATTCATTAGTTTTTCATTTTTATTTAACCATTTATTATTTTGTTATTTAATTATAATTAAAGAATGTAATTTTTGTGGATAGCCTATTTTGTTTTTATTTTTTTTCTTTACTAAAAACATTTTTTATTTATTTTTGTTTTTATACAAAAAATAACAGCACCATTGATTAATTTTGTAATTTCCATGAATACACGTATTTTTTGTTTTCTACATTTATAGTTTTTACTACTATCTAACAAGGAATCAACTAAGATTGTTTGCTTGTCAGGAGATTGAAAAATAATGCTTTTGAAAAAACTTTTCAAAATCAAACCTGATTGTCGATTGTAGTAACTAACTAGTAAGTTACAAACATTTTTAAAGTAATTTGTAAGTATTCATTCAACACAAATACAAATATTGAACATTAAATAGAAAAAAGGACAAATATTTAACTAACATACATTATTATATTTATTATATCTATGTTATAAAATGTAATACAATAAATTTCAATAGAAATTATACCTAATTAACTACTCGGATGTTTTCAGTACTCGTCGGTATTGTTTTGAATATTCAAACGCGAAAATCAGAATGCATGTATATAATAACTAATAGAAACTCGATTTAACCGCTTGGATGCTTAGAATATAATTATAAATACATGTGTCCAATTTCGTCCATAAATTTTTTTATTTAGATATTAATATATTAACTTTAATATAACCAACCGCAATCCTAATTTAATTAAAATGTAATATTAAAAAACATATTACACAACAGTATAGCCATACTGACTAGTGTTGGATTTCGAATAAATGCTGCCAAAATATCCTCACAGATTCTTATATTGTAATTTGTTAATAAAGTTTTTAGATACTTAAGAATTGATTAAAATATTTTATTTTCTTGAAACTTTATTTCATGACTGTGTGAATTTTTTATATGAACGAATGGAACGAATGCGGTCATGAGAGTGTGTAAGAGTTTGAGTAAATAATATTATTATCAGCATAAATATTACTTAATGAATCAGCATATTTCACCAGTTATCTGACACAATGTCAATAAACACATCAAATAAAAATATGGATATATGTTAAATTCATATTCAATAGTTTTTTATTTGTAAAATATAGTAGAAAACTATACACACCTATCAAATTAAAGGGGTTCTTGAATCAGCTGTGTATTGTATTGGCACAACAATTTACGAGCTTTGAGATAACTATTTTAGTTTAATAAATTATTCAACCGATAATAACGACCAGAAATATAATATTCTTATTTTTACGTTTAAACGTTATAACAGGTTGTTTTATCTACTCCTAAAGACCAAGCCTTGTTGTAGTCATTCATGTCTGTCACATGCCGTTTTCTTATGTTATTGGTATTGGTAAGATGTAAAACCCATCCAACGGTTTGTTTATGATAACTAAAAAGTTTGTATCAGTGTATGATTGTGTGGAGGGGGATTCTTGAAATTTACCTCTACAACAAAAATTGTCATTGATATAACAAGAAACTTATGGGTAGAATATTAAATTTGTTAAATTTAAAAATTACTATTTCAAATACGGAAATCCTGTAGAACTTTTTTGTTTGAGTAAAAAAGT